GTGGTTTCCAGACATTTTGCTATTCAGACCAATGCTCTGTGAATATCCTCATAGCGATGTCATTTTGCATGTGTGTGACTTTATCTGTTGGCTAACTGTTGCAACTTGTACGTTTAAATGTACCATTTAAAATCTTGCTAGTTGTTGCCAAGTGACTTTGCATTTGCAAGTTGTACTCATTTCCATTCCCACCCACAGTGCATGAGTGTGCCCCATTCCTATTTGGAGCAACTCTTGCTGTCAGATGGTTCTGCCTTTTTGTAGCAATTGATCTGAAATGTGCCTGCTGCAGTTTCTACCCACCTTTTCTATGTTTGCTCTCTGGGCTCCACACTCTGGTTTTGTGTAGGCTGCTTCATTTTATTTCGGCTTCCCAATGAGTTGGAATGGTGACTAATGAACCACATCCCATGCCTGAGAGTGGAGCTTGTCTCAGAGAACAGCCCAGGAACATTTAGGCTCTGGGAGCTTATGCATTCACCAGGCCTTTGAATGGAAGAGGCTGAATTCCTGGCTCAAATCCCTGGAGCTTAAGCACCTTAACTCTTTAAACAAAACATAAATGGTATTACAGTGTAATATCATCATACAATTTTATTTAGCTCAAAATATGTCTGAGAGGTTTAACTCTGTTTGTACTTATTTGATCTTTCATTGCATTCTTAATTATGGTATGACTTACACCATCATGGTTTAGTTATATTTTCATTTATTAATGTACACTTAAGTTTTAAATTTTAATGCTGCAGTGGATATTCTTGTACCTCCCACTTTGTGAGCATGTGTAGGCATTACTCCTTGGTAGATACTGGTAAGTGGAGTTGCTGGCTCCTAGAAGATTTAAAAGTTTACTGAATTCAGCCAAGTTGCCTTCCAGAGTAGTGGTGTTAAATCCTACTTCCATCAGTGCACAAAGGACCTCTTTCACCATGGTTCCCAGTTCCCCACAACATTGGACTTTAAAAAAACCTTTGCTGTTCTTATGGCTACAAAGTGATTTCTGATGGTCTCTATCTGCATTTTCCTGGTTACTAACCACATAGAGCAATTTTTCATGTTTAATATTGGCCATTGGTATTCTTTGGTGAATTACCTATTCATGTCCTATGTAGCAATTTTCTTCTTTGTTTAATCCTTTATATATCGATTTGTAGGAGTTTTTTGTATATTTTTGATACTTAGTCTTGGCCTGTGATATATGTAGCAGAATTTTCTTCTAGAAACTCTTTAAGACAAAGGACACCATCATCCTACTCTTGTGCATTTGTCTTGCAGTGTGAGCAGACTGTGTTTATACCCTTGTACACCCATGTCGTACAGAGCAGCAAAGACCTTCCCTACCTGGCTGGTGTAGCTCAGTGAATTGAGCACAGACCTGTGAACCAAAGCATCACCGGTTTGATTTCCAGTCAGGGCACATGCGTGGGTTACAGGCCAGGTCCCCAGTATGGGGTGTGCTAGAGGTAACCATACATTGATGTCTTACTCCCTCTCTTTCTCCCTCCCTTCCCCATCTCTCTAAATTAAATAAATAAAATATTAAAAAAAGACCTTCCCTAAAGAAGTTGTATGATTTAAGACCATCACATAGGAATAAGTATAAAGTAGTGGTAGTGAGGATATTGTCTTGGAGCACATAAACCCTTAACCATAGTGACATACTAGATAAATATACAATGCATGAGGATGTGTGGATATATGGGTTATCTGTAGCCATTAATACTTTGGGGCCAGACTACCTGAGTTCACATCTGACCTCTGCCCCTTCCTAATAAATGTATGAACTTGGGCAAACTACTTAAATCCTCTGGGTATCAGGTTGCTCATCTGTAAAATGGGAATAATAGGAGGATCTATTTTATAGGATTGTTGTGAGAATTAAATGAGTTAATGCAAAGAATTTTATTTTAAGGATTTTATTTATTTATTTTAGAGAGATGGGAAAGGGAGGGAGAAAGAGAGGGAGTGAAACATCAATGTGTAATTGCCCTTAGCACACCCCATGCTGGGAATATGGCCTACAACCCAGGCATGTGCACTGCCTGGGAATCAAACCAGCCATGCTTTGGTTCACAGGCCTGCGCTCAATCACTGAGCTACACCAGCCAGGGCAAATGCAAAGAATTTTTAGCAGGGCTTGGCACAGGGTGAAATTTGTATGAATATTAGCTATTATAAAAGTTTAGCTTTCATAGTGTTTGTTGTATCTGATTTCTGTCCCAAATTAATTGGGTTAGGGTATGTTTCTTGGATTAGGGTGTGTTTCTTTTAGCATCCAGTATCACCTCTTTTTAAAAAATTTTATTTATTGATTTTTGAGAGAGAGAGAGAGAGAGAGGAAGGTGAGAGAGACAGAGAAGTCAATTTGTTGTTCCCCTTATTCATGCATTCATTGGTTGTTTCTTGTATGTGCCCTGACCAAACCCACAACCTTGGTTCATTGGGATGATGCTTTAAACAACCAAGCTACCTGGCCAGGGATAGTACCACCTCTTTATGAATTCTTTGACGACATGGTTATATATTGAAAAGGATGAAAAATAAAAATAACATGTGTTTTTTAAAAAGGCATACAAATCATAGAAATGAGGTACAGGAGTTCCAATGCACAAAACAATAATTTCTTTAAAATGTATTTATTGAGGATGGTGAACATTTCTCTTTGCCAAAGTGGTGTGGCTCAAGCAATTATGTAAACTCAATTTATTATTCACTTAGCTGCAGTGTTTGATTAATTTTTTATTTGCAGGGATTGTTACACTATTTTGTAACCCATGCATAAAATGAGATTTGTTTGATTTTTATGTGCTGTGATTTCGAAGTCCCTAATTCAAGGTTGCATATTGTATGATCACTGTGAACTTGCTGTAAGTTCACTGGGCCATTTTCTGTCCTCTAAACTGTTCCCACTAGTTGTCAGTGCTGGGCAGGGCTTGCTGATTTCACTGGGAATAATGATTTTTTTAAAATGTGGAGAGAAACATTCCAGACTAAGGCAAAGCTGACTGCAGAGTTTGTTTTCAGCCTTGTGATCCCTGCAGTTTGTGGTTTAGTGATTATCTGAAAACTTCTGAATGGATGCAATTGATGTTCCTTGAAGATAGGCTGCTCCTTGTCACCACCCCTAACTGCCCCAGTCTTCATGTTCTTTGTGTGCCTTCCACCGCACCCGCTATGTGACAGTGAAGAAGTCCAGAGTCCTGGAACATCCCTTGGAGGCTCTGAGATAAAGCAACATTCCTAGCTTTTTGCTTGTTGGTCACTGAACTTGGGAGTGGGACTTTGCAGGCAGGCAATGACAGGCCTTTGACAGGAAGTTCTTCTAGTGTGCTAGTGACACGGCATGTGAGCCTTTGTGCCTGGTGCACTAAAAGGCTTTGATCCCTACCATTTCACACTCATGAGAATAGCTAAAATAAAAAAGACTGACAATAGCAAATGCTGGTGAGGATGTGGAACTACAAACTTTCAGACATTGCTGGTGGGAGTGTTAAATGGTACAAATACCTGGGAGAACTGTTTGTCAGTTTCTTGTGAAGTTAAACACAAACTATCCCCTGACCCTAGCAATTCCACTTCCAGGAATCCACCCAAGTGAAATGCCCACATAAAGACTTGTATGTGCATATTCATAGTACTTATTCACAATAGCAAAAACTGGAATAATCAATGAGAGAATGGATAAGCTATTTGTGGAATATTCCTGTATTAGAGTACTATTCAACAATAAAAAGAATAAACTACAGCTTCATATAACAACATAGATGATTCTCAAGAAACAGGATGTTGAACAAAAGAAAATTATAAAAGTAAACACAATTCCATTTGTGCAAAGTCCAAGAAGAGGTAAAGCTTCTCTCTGGGACTGGAAAGCAGAAGAGTGGATGCCTCTGGAATCCGGTGAAAAGTGGGGCTTGCCTGGGAAGGAGCACAGAGGCACTCTCTGGGGTAGAACAACATTCCACACTTTCGGTTCCATGGTAAAATATGATCACTAGACTCAACTAACTGAAAGTTTATGACCTCTGCATTTTCTTGTATATAAATAACATATTTATTGGAAACATTTTAAAGGTTATGATGAGCTTTTCCCTCGTTTTATAGTCCTAATTATTTGTATTCATCAAGGTTGCCATCTTTCCCAATGGGAGCTGACATAACCTCTAACTGTGTATCTTAGCCTGAGGTCTGTTGGTCATTTTCAATGAATCCTGATCCCTGTGGAATTGGATGCACAATTTTGCATGTCTGTGTGCATGCATTTTTATTTTCCCTTGAGAAGTGAGTTCATAGCTAGCAACATATTCCTCAATGGGTCTCTGACCCAAAACATACTTAAAACAACTTCTCCGTTAGATGGTTCATGCAGAATGTGTAGGAAACAGTATCAGTAGTTAATGATGAATGAATAAATGACAAACTGTTTCCAGTTGATGTTCAAAGAACCAAGCTTCCAGTAGTTTACAGATTAAAACTGGCAGATGTCAGTGGCTCTGTTAAACTAACAAAACTTTGAGTAACCTCCTACCTGAGAAATGAAATAAAGTCCTGATAAAAATAGCAGGCAGAATCAGTGTATTGTTCAACCCCATTTAGAGAACAAGATACCTGTTATTCAAAAGTATCATATACCGTGTCTATATTGAATATTGGAATTAGATAAATGTAATAGAAGCAATGGTTGGGATTCAACTGGAAATAATTATTTAATGCATTCTCTTGATAGGAAAAAAAAAAACAATTGCCATAGGGACCACTAACAGAACTGTATTAGGTTCAGCTTTGCCAGTGTTTAAACAAAAGACAGTTTTGACATGGCTCAGTTATGGCAATTTTTAGACACTGAGTTTTAAGAATTGGTTGTTCATACTCAGTCCCTGATTGTAAGGAGACAGTGCAGAATTAAATTGATGGCATTGGGTTGTAAATGCTTTTTGAGCAGGGAAGTTTCACTAATTACATCTGAGAACTTCGGCTTTCTTCTATGTGGTTATTGACAGGTTTCTGTGGTCTGTTTTGTCCCATGTGTCTTGAGTGTGACATCGCGAGGCATTATGGAGAATGCTTTTGTTGGCCATTGCTGCCTGGGTCGACCTTTGCAGTGAGAGTTGGCACCAGAGAAAGATATAAAATATGGGTAAGTGTGTTTGAATGTTTATGTGATCCTGGATGCCTTTCAAATCTGTGCCTTTCAAAAGAAGAAGAAGAAAAAAAAGAGTCTGGGTAAGACACTGAAAATACACTTAGTGGGCCCTGGCTGGGTGGCTCAGTTGGTTAAGGCATTGTCGTGTACATCAAAAGTTTGTGGGTTTGACTCCCAGTCCAGGGTGCATAGGGGAGGTAACCAATTGATGTTTCTCTCTGTCTCTCTGTCTTGGTCTCTGTCTCTCTCTCAAATCAATAAAAATATATCCTTGGGTGAGGATTAAAAAAAAAAACACTTGGTGGAAGACTCTGGAAAAGGAAAGGGAAGAAATTTCTGATTTCTTAGGAAGTTCCTAGGAAGTATGTATATTAACCAAAATGTCACATTATGAAGGGTATTTCCAAGGGAAACTTATAATGCAGATCAGTGGCCAATGGGCCATTTCTGTTTCTGTCATTGCATCAAGAGATGATGACAGGTAGAATTGTATCACATTTGGAAGACATATTTGGGATGGTCTGACCTAAAATGCAGCCTATGTGACATACGTAGAATTCACTTTGGGGACTCCTTGGGGACCCTTCAACTTTTCAGCTCAGCTGAGACTGAGCTACATTGAAACTCTTAGGACAGACAGCACACATAGTAAGATGTGGGCAGTTAAAAATAAGCATCTGTATATTCATGTGAAATGGTCCCTAAAATATATTTTTAAGTGAAAAAAAGCACAGCATAAAAATATGAAATTGTTTACATAAAAGCCTGTGTATGTACATACTTGTATAGACAGGCTTTATTTGGAAGTGTAGATAATAAACTGCCATCACTATGTGCCCTTGGACAGGTAACTGTGTTTCTGGGTGCACCTGTTCTAGAGGAATTTACATTTTACTTCCTATTCCTTCTTGTTGGAATTTTGGACCATGTGGACTCATTCATTACCCATTTTAAAGAAAGAAATAAAGTAATTATAAATATGAAGTCCTAAGAGGAAAAAAAGAGATGTTGCTGGAGAAAGCAGTGGGTTCAAGGAGGAAGCCTGGACCAAAAGCCTGGAGAGCAGGTCTTGGAATTGCGAGGACTGATTAGCCGCTGAGCCACTTGGGACTTCGGAGAGCCAGTGGAGCTGTGCGTGTCCCTGAGTGCTGACTTGGGGGTGTTGGTGGGTCTTGGAAGCTGCACAGGGGATGTGCCACCAGGTAGTGGTGTGGTGGTCCCTGGGTAGCAGATGAGCCTGTGTGACCTCACCAGGACAGACACTGGCTCTCCCTGCAGGGCACACTGTGCGAGGACTGGCTGGCTGTGCACTGCTGTTGGCCCTTTTCCATCTGTCAGCTGGCCAGGGAACTCAAGATGAGAACCTCCCAGCTCTACGAATTCTCCGCAGCACCTTTAATGAAAGACGCCTCTATTTGATGGAGCAAGAAAACTCCTCATTCCCCTTTGCCCTCTTCTTAAAACCCTCTTAGTGAAGAGATCATTCTCATTAGCTTTTCACTGAAATAGATGAAAATAAATGATCCCCGCTCTTACTGTCTACTGTTGTTCTCTCTTTACACATGCCCCTAGTGAAGGCTGTTCTTTGGATTTGCTGTGTCTGGAGTTTTGGAAGCTTGCATTTTTCACCATCTTCCTACTGCCATCCTTTCCCAAAGGATGTTTGGGAAGCTGGACGAATTGTCATGTGGCTTGCTCCTACTGAGCACCTTCCCCAAAGCATCAGTCATGGGGCAGGAGGTGGTTAATTTTAGTTAGCACTTGGACTGGGCACTAAGTGTCCTTGAGTCCTGACTGCATGGAGCAGAAAGCCTCGGGGCTGCTGATCTGGATGCCTCTCTTCGCCTGGAAAATCTTCAGCCCCAGGAACAAAACCTTCAATAGGCAACTGTGGGCAACTGTTCTGGTTGACTTGAATCATTTCTGTTCTCTGCCCCTTCCCAAAGATATGGCAAAGTTTTAACTCCTGGTATCTGTAAATGTGACCTTATTTGGAAATAGGGTGTTGTGGACATAATTAAGTTAAGATGAGGTCATTAGGGTGGGCTGCAGTCCTTACAGGAAGAGGAGAAAGAGACACAGAGACACTAATGCAGCCATGTGATCCTCATGTCAGGGAGTGGAGTGAGGCTGTCACAAGCCAAGGGTGACCTGGGACCCCCAGAAGCTGGAAGAGGCAAAGTTGTGGACAGAGTGTGCCCTGCCAAGGTGTAGATTCTAACCCCCAGAACCATGAGAGAATGTTTCTGTTGTAGTACTTGGTTACAGCAGCCCTAGGAAACTATTACACCCACCATCTATCAGGTGGATAGAATCCTCTCTGGTTTTTGTTATGGCAACCCCACAGAACAGCACTGAGGAGCCTGGGTTCTGAAGCCGAACTGTCTGGTTCATATACTAATGGTGTAACTATAGACACATTTGCTAATCTCTTTGTGCCTCAGTCTCCTCATCTGTAAAATGGTAGTTCTAACCTCATAGGGCTATGAGGATTCTAACAGTCAAGACACAGTGTCTGGCAGATAACAAGTGAAACTGGAAAAGACACTGGAGCTCGTGCTGACTGTCACTGCCAAACCCAATAAGCAGAGATTGAATCTTTATGGGTACTTTATTCAGATGGCCAGTGATCTGAGAAGATGGTGGGTTCATACCTTAACAGACCATCTTACATTTTCTTTCCAGGCCAATATTTTCATAGCAGGGAGTAAACAAGGTGCAGTGAAGGGTTTTGAAATTTAGGGAAAATTAGATGGAAAAACTGCAGTATTCTTGCCCTCAGCAGTTAGCTGTTCCCAGGAGTGGGGGGTTGTCTGTCTCTCCTTGGAACACAAAGGCCCGGATATCTCCACTTGTCCCCAGGTGGTAATCTTTGGCAGTGCCCCAGGAGGTCGGCTGTTTCCCCAGGAGCCAGGATGGGCCTTATCTGTAATTTCTGAAACAAAAGCTTTGACATATACATTATTTACTAGGCTTCTAACTATTTACCCTAAACTAAAATTTTCCAACTTTTGATTCCCCTATCACAAGGACTCAGGGTATATGAGCTATTCTATCACTATCTTGTATTCGCAGCCCATTATACTGGTTTTCCATTTACAGTTGAGATGTAAAGTTTTAATTAAAGTTTAAATGAAAATGAAGTCATTAAGGCTTCCGCCAAGATGGAGGCATAGGTGGAGACGTCGTGCTTTCTCACACAACCAAGTTTAGAGACAACTAGATATTAGCAACAGAAAACACAGCCAGAACACAGAAATTTGAACTTTTTGGAAGTCAACAAATTCTTCAGCCTGACCGGTAAGAGGGGCTAAACCAGCAGCTGGAGGAGCGGGTTGCACAGGAAAACTCTGTCAGACGGACTCAGGCGCGCAGAATCCAGGCGCAGGGTTGGACATGGTGGGCAACTCAGCAAGCAATCGTGGGGAAAAAGCGAGGGAGCAGGGCTGCGGGTTGACTGTGGTCGCGCATTCCTGCGTGGATAGACAAGTGAGAAAGTGGGCCATTGGACGGGACCCAGCAGGTCCCCACAGCAAGTGGCAGTGGTGGGCCCCACCATTTCCTCGCTCTGACCCCGCCTCCACATACAGCGTCATCACCCAGCGACCTAAGTGGCCCTGCCTTGGTGAACCACCTAAGTCTCTGCTCCTCACCCTGTGGGGAGAAACAGCAGAGGGGGTCGCCATTTCCCCGCTCTGACCCCGCCTCAACATACAGCGTCACAACCCAGCGACCTGGGAGTCCAAGGCTACACTCCTCACACTTAAAGGGCACGAACAGACCAAAAAATGGCTCAAGAAGATCTCAAAGCCCCAGAGCCTATAAATCTAAGTGCTGAAGAAATAGCAAAACTCTCAGACGCACAGTTTAAAACACTGGTGATCAGGATCCTCACAGAACTGGTTGATTATAGCCACAAATTAGACAAACATATGAAGGTGAAACTAATTGAAATGAATGGAATTGCACAGGAAACCAATAGCGATGAAAAGGAAACTGGGACTCAAATCAGTGGAGTGGACCAGAAGAAAGCAAATAATGGCCAAACAGAAAAGAGTCAAGAAGCAAGAATTCAAAGAAATGAGGAGAGTCTTAGGAACCTCCAGGACATCTTTAAATGCTCCAACATCCGAATTATAGGGGTACCAGAAGGGGGAAAGGAACAGCCACCAGTGGAAAACTTATTTGAACAAATAATAAAGGAGAATTTCCCAATCTGGCAAAGGAAATAGACTTCCAGGAAATCCAGGAAGCTCAGAGAGTCCCAAAGGAGTTGGACCCAAGAAGAAACACACCAAGGCACATCATAATTACATTAGCCAAAATTAAAATGAAGGAGAGAATCCTAGAAGCAGCAAGAGCTAAGGGGACAGTCACCTACAAAGGAGTCCCCATCAGACTGTCAACGGATTTCTCAAAAGAGACCTTACAGGCAAGAAGGGGCTGGAAAGAAGTATTCCAAGTCATGAAATCCAAAGACCTACATACAAGATTGCTCTATCCAGCAAAACTTTCATTTAGAATGGAAAGACAGATAAAGTGCTTCTCAGATAAGACCAAATTCAAGGAGTTCATCATCACCAAGCCCTTATTATATGAAATGTTAAAGGGACTTACCTAAGGAAAAGAAGTTAAAGAAACATGAACAGTGAAAGGACAGCAAACTCACAGTTATTAACAACCACACCTAAAACAAAAGCAAACTAAAAGGACAGCTAGATCAGGAGTGGAAACATAGAAATGAAGATCTCAAGGAGGGTTAGCAACAGGGGAGTGGGAGGAGGAGAAGGGGGGAGAAGGTACAGAAAATAAGTAGCATAGACAGTAGATAGAAAATAGATGGGGGGGGCAAGAATAGTATGGGAAATATAGAATCTAAAGAACTTGAGACACATGGTCATAAACTAAAGGGGGGGTAATGGTGGGGACGGGGAGGGGGTAGGATGGAGGGGAATGAAGAGGGGAATAGAACAACTGTAATGGCATAATCAATAAAAAAATAAATTTAAAAGGATGAAGTCATTAAAGAAAGAATATTAAATAAATAAAATGTAATACAGGATGTATTATAGAATTGTATACTTAAAACCTGTAATTTTATTAACCAATGTCACCCCAATAAATTTAATAAAAAATTAAAAAGTATGGGTGGTTGGTGGATATAGCAAATATTGTGGTGATAAACACCAATTCTCTTGAGTACTTACATGTGCCAAGCACTGCTCAAAACATTCTCCATATTTTAAGACATTTAACCCTTAACATCCATCCCTCAGGTAGGTGCTATTACATCTTCATTTTCCAGAAAATGAACCTGAAGCACAGAGAGGTTGAGTGAGTTGCCCAAGGCCACACAGCTGGTAAGTGACAGGTACTCTGGGTCTTGAGGCTGTGCTCCTAACCTCTCCACTAAGCAGGCAGAGAAGACTTCTTGCCAGGAGGCCTTCTTGAATCCTCGTGGTTGTACAAACTGGGGTTTGCTCTGTGGAGGGGACTCAGCCCCACTCAGTGTCTGTCACTCACCCCTACTCCCAGGCATCCCCACTAGAACTAAGCAGTTCCCCTCTGACAAAGTGACTGCTCTCCCAGGCCTCTCTTTTGCATGTCCAGAGCAGCTGCCAGGAACCAAAGCTCTTTGGGAAAATTAAATGCTCAGTGCTGACGTTTAATCTATGATGAAGTACTCCCTTCTCCGAGCCAGTAACTGAAAAAACCAGGCCTGAGAGACAACTCCATTACATGAAAATAAACCTGTTTTATTGTTTCTTACTAAAGCATATATCAGGCTTCACAAGCTCACAACCTTGAACAACAAACATTTTTGGCAAAGGAGACTTGAGTAATCTGTCCACTTCTGCAGGAGCGACACCGTCCTTCGTGGAGAACAGAGGGCATTTCACGCACCAGTTTCTGGCCCATGTGTCTCAGCTAATGTAAGAGGTGCAAGCGGACATCTCCAGCAAGGGAGCCACCTGCCTGATTTCCCCTTTCCTCTTTCTGATCAGCATGGGTGGTAAAGAGCACACTTAACATTTCATTAGAGCCACACACCCAAATAAAGAAAACTCTGGGCTTTGAAAGCATTGAGTCTATAACGAATCACAGAACATAACAGAGAATTAGCACAGGGATACACCTCTTGGGAATCTGACGCTGGAGAGCGGTCCGAAAAGCAAGGTGGTTCAGGGCCGTGATTCCTGGTTTCCTCTAGAACATGTCAAGCCCAAGAATGAAAGGGACTTAACCAAAACATGTGCATCCTTCCCAGTTGAAAAGATATTTAACACCAAATTTTGAAGCGAGAGACAACTCTGGTATTAAACTTCCAGTTTCCTCAGACTTATAGCAAGCTGTCAGTGGCCCAGCTCTGAGAGGTACCCAAGAGTGAAGGCAGTGTTCTGTGTGTTTTTCTTTTCACTAGAAAGTTTCCTTTGGTTTTCCGAGATGCAGTGTGTGACAAGGATCTCTCATGATTCCATGTGGGCAAACAACACCAACACACATGCAACAACAGACATTGCAAAGTAACTCATACACATGACAAATTGTAATACCAGAAACCCAACAAACAAACCCCAGCAAAATTCTTGGCTCTACAGGGGCATATTCTAAGACAGGCCTGGAACTCTCTATTTTTTGGGACAAATATATGAAAAGCTTGGAAGTCCTTAGGTGTCCACTACCCTATAAAATGAATTTTATATGTTTATATATTTTATATATCTAAGATTTATTTATACAATAGTCCATAATGACTAACATACTTTTTTTATAAGCAGTATTTGCACACATATTTCCTCACAAAGATTCTCTTTTGGTCTATTAAAAACACTGTACTTAAAAAATAAAACAAGCAAAGACACAAGAGAGTCTATAGCTTTTTTGCTTATATTTCCAATGAGGGGGGAATTTTTCTCCCCTTTAATTTTCTTTCCTCTTTTTTTTCTTTTCCTAAACAACACACTCTCCCCCCCCACAACACACAGTAATAAGCAACAATCCCAGAAGATGAAACACTTCATGGTTAGCACACTATTCTGGGGTAAACTCCTGGGCTTACCTCATTCTGATCATTATAACTCACCTTTGCCCTCCTCCCCGCCACCTCCACTACCGGCATCACCTTTTGACCCATGACCATTTGGAAACTATATGCTGGGACCGACAGTCCAGAGATGAAAACTTTAGGAAATGAGGGAGCTTTTCTTAACCTTCTGGGTTTGGCTGGGAAGAAATCAGCCTTCATTTTGTGTTTTTAAGAAAATATTTGGTTGGTTGGTTAAGCAGGTTCTGAGGGAAAGCTAATTCACCTTCCACCATAAACCCTGGAAATTTCCCAGACACTTCAAAACCAGAAAGTGAAAAACTAAGAAAGGTGGTTTCCAGTTGCTTTAAATATGAGGTGGGAGTCAGTGCGAAAAGAAAGCCTGAGCAAGAGGGCTCGAAGACAGGGCTGTGATTAGCCAGGATGGTGTACTGGTTTCTGGGGATTAGAAGTTATGTTGTTTTCCTCAGTATGCAAAACTTGCTTTCATGTGGATGGCTTGCCTTTACTTAACCTGTCCCTATATCATCAATTAAAATAAAATTCTTTCCAACTCTGACATTCAATGACTTTACCCTGGAAAAAAATGAAGCCATTGAAACCTATGTATAGTGTGCTGGAAGGCATCATGGTAGCAACAAGTAGATTCCAGGATCTGAAGGCAGCATCTCTATATTCATTGCTGCTGAGGCTAATGAGGAGCTAACCAAACCTGAATTCATCTCAGAGGAAATGCAAACAACATTTTAGTCCCAGCAGTTCAGAGAAAAAGGATGACTGACAATTGGCAGCACTGTCATTAATTATGTGTGAGAAGATGTCATCGCTGAATTATCCTCTCTGTGGTCTCCTCATACCTCCTGCTTTCTCACGGACCACTTGGCAAGTAAAGCCAATACTTTGGGGCCTCTTGTTGCTTATTATCACATTCCTCTAAGGTTAACCAAAAGAGGGGTGTGGTTAAAGTTACTCATCTCATGAAGGGATGGGTGCTGGCTTCATGTAGAAGAAAAACATTTCTGTAACCACAAAATCCAGTCCTTACTCTGCTCAAGGTTTGGCTGATGGTGCTCCTGCTTACAAGCAGGCCTGATGAAAGCCTGAGGATGCTTCGCTGCTAAATTATGATCTTGAACTTGAAAACAACCAGCAGACCCAAATGATGCTGCATTTTTGTCACTGTCTTTGGTAATTGGGGCACATGTGCTTTTAAAAATGAAATCCTTATGGATGTCTTAACAGAGAAGGTCAAAATGTATGGTTCAGAGTCTCAGGGTACTTGTGAGTTGCATTTATCTGTATTAGCACAGATAATTTAAAACTATACAGTTTTTTTAAAATCAGGGGTAGACTATCTACTAATGACTTGTCCTTTAAGATGACTTATTTCTGAATAAAAAAGTGCATTTTTATATCTTTAGACATGAAATGGCCTCTCTATAAGCATTACAGTCTGTGCCATCTCTCTTATAACAGTGTGGACTTTTCTTATCTGAGATTCTTTAGGTACCAAGTCCTTGTTTCCTTGACCAGGATGTTCTAACAGAAGCCCTCTGGATATGAAGGTGTTAGTGTGGGGTGGGAGGTGACAGAGTGGAATTGGGATGGAAAAGGATGAGGATGTGGCAGAGGGAATAAGATGCTGGGTCAGGAGTCGGGCAGGGGAGGGGGCAAAGGATAGGGACACTGAAGGCACATTGGCCTGTCTGGCTTGAACATCCCAGAGCATTCTGCTCTCTCCTGCACTGCTCTAATTCTGAGCTGGAGAGATAGGCCAGGCATAGAGCTGAAAGGCATTTGATGTTCAGTCATTAATGTGTCAGTTAGGTTGCAAGGTGTGATAAATTGGCAAGATCAAGTTTGGCTTTGACAACAGAATGAAGTAACCTGAAACAACACATGACATACTTGGATTTCTCTATCCTGACCCACCACCCATTGATACCGTGGGTGGAGACATGTTAGTTCTTTCTCCTATTATCCTTCTGTCTTGGAGGCTGACCTATTGGTATCCCTATACCATCCTTGATGTCCAAACAATATCATAGGGTCCATAAACTCCCCACTGAGTAGTTTCCATCCAATCTGATGATCACTTGTTCTTGTCAATATCCCAGTTGTTGCTAGCTCCTCCTGGGAAGATTACCAAGGCAGAGTCTGTGAAGGGGAAAAAGAATTTCAGAATCTCTCGTGTGTAAATGCATCCTGGGAAGTCTCTACTTCTTTAAAATTCTTATATACCTATATAAGAAAGAGAGAATCAAAACAGTAAAATGTTCATATCTAGGGAGCCTAGCTGAAGGGTATACAAGAATCCCTTGTACTATTTTTAGCAACATTTTCATAAGTCTGAAATTCTTTCAAAAATATGAAAGTTAAAATCCACAAGACCCCAGGTTTGCTCTGAGGCCTCAAATATTCTATTTTGGTTACCAAACTCAACTTGCATCTCTATCATCCCTCAGATAATGTAATAAATGTCCCCCCCCTTCCTGTCTGGTCCCTGACCCCTTTTCCAGAGGCTGAGCCTGGTCACAGCAGGTGCAGACAACACCTCGGGTGCACAAGTCCAGGTGAGGGCTTGAGTAGTTTGATTGGCTGGAGTGACTTTGCTGCTAGTGCTTGGCTCTTGGCCCTTTTGGGTATAAATAAAGCCCCATGTGACCATGCTGAGTTGGGACAGGAGAAACCTAAAATGATGGGAAATTGGTCCAATAACATTTAGAAAACTTGCCATCTAAAAGACCCAGTCTAAGAGTTTTTCCACAAGTGAGTTCCCATGAAAGCCCAGTAAAGCAGGAAATGAGTAGGAGAGGGAGTTTTCCATCTTTTGCCCAACTTCTTTCACGTGAAGCCTGGTTTCTTTTCTCACCAAGGGCTCTTGCTGATTTAACAGGCCAGTTTGCTCTCTGGGGAACCTTGAATGATGATCACAGCCTCATTCTTGGTTGGGTGGAATGGGACAGTGAGATCTTGCCAGCCACATTTATGGGAGATATCAATTTGGGGAGTCTTACCTGAACCCCCAGTCTCCAAAGGCAGCATTGTGATCCATGGCTCCAGAAACAGGTACTGGAAGAGCCCTGAACCTTCAAGCAGGCAGCTGCATTTGGAATCAACACTGAGCTCCTCCGTGCTCTCAGAGCTTGCAAGTGCCCATGGCACTAACTCATTGGCTGCTGTGTCCCACTCAGCATGACAGCAAGCAAGAGCTGGCAGAGGCACCAGGTGGCTGCTTTACATTCAGTGGGAGAAGCAGGCATGAACACAAAGTCTGTGATTATTAGGCTGCCTTTCACATCCCCCCACGTCAAGAAGTCACATAGGATTTGGAGCTCTGCTGTCTTCACTGAACACCACCAAACATGGACAGAAGTTTCACACTGCTATTCATGACTTTGAGTCCTTAAAAGGGAAGGCGCCTTTGTTAGATGTAGCCTGCTTCTCTTCCCTGTGCCTAAGCTGGTGCCAGTGCTGATACTGGGTACATGCCTTTGGAGATGGGTCAGCCCATTAAAATTGCAATGGGCCCAGAAGTGGTGGCTTTGAACTGTGGATCAGGCCTGGCTTTAGCAGCTGGAATAATGTCCCTTGGAGGCAGAAGGCAAGGTTATGTGAGATTACTGCATCTGGATCCCAAGGGAGTAGTGTGTGCTTTGTTTGCTCTAACTACATTTATTATGATGTAGCATTTCTGGGTGAATGCAGAGGCAGGGAAGTAATAAGGAAGTGGCTGCCATGGGAAGGCTGGCTGCACATGAATCTGACCTTCCAGGTTGTGCTAAATGATGTAGAAAGAACTTCAACTCTAAGATCGACTGACATTTTAATGGGCCCCCCAAAATCCCATCAGTGGGTGAATTTACTTATGGCTGGTATTGCGCAGTGCTGAGTAGAAGCCCTTGTTAGTAGTGCTGGGTCTACTGGCCAGGGGCTTTAGGATTAGGCAGGTAATAATTGTTTACTGAGCACTCCAAAGACAAGTCTATTTGAAATAGAAAACTCAGATGTCTGCAGGAAAGCTCTCCATCCCATCTTAAATGAGATGGCAAGTAGTTAGCGGTGCAGACTTGAGTCAGATTGCCTGATTTTATTTCCAAACTAATTCTTAACTCTGTGACCCTGAGGAAATTATTTAATTGCTCTAGGCCTTAGTTTCCCTATCTGTATTATGGGGGTAGTAACAATATTGACTTTGTATGGTTGTGGTTGAGATTTTTAAACCAGCTAATGTAAGTTAAGAGCATAGTGTCTATAATTGTTGGCTCACAAGTATTATTATGAATTCAGAGACATCTTGAAGTATAATTATTTTGATCCTGCTTCTTAATTATCTTAATGGAAAACCCTCTAGGTGGATATGGATTATTGAAGTGGCCCACTGTCATACCCATTACTAGAATTTCTTTTGTCTTAAAAATCTAAGTTTCAGGAGCGGAGTCACAAATGATCACATGGAGGGTTAGCAACAGGGGAGTGGGAGGAGAAGAAGGGGGAAAAGGTACAGAGTATAAGTAGCATAGATGATGGGGAGAAAATAGACAGGGGGAGGGCAAGAGTAGTGTGGGAAATGTAGAAGCTAAAGAACTTGGAACACATGGGCATGAACTAATGAACACATGGAATGTGGGGGGAGGGGAAGGAAGGGAGGAAATGGGACAACTGTAATGGCATAATCAGTAACATATATTTTAAAAAAATCTAAGTTTCAGTTTCCTGAATTGAGTTCTTAAAATTTATATCCTAACCTAAAAAATGAGGATAATGCTGTTTCAATATTTACTTTATATGGCTGTTGTGGGATGGCCTTTATTTTTAAATCCCATTTTATAGATGAGAAAATTGAGACTCAAAGTGGTGGAGTGACTTGCCCAAAATCACAGAGTGAGTCACACTTGAAATACAACTGAGGTGTTCCAATTCTATAGCCTGGAATCTTCTGCGCCAGAGAAAGGTGGGGGGAAGAGAGGGAGAGGGGTAGGGTAGGAAGAAAGGAGAAGGAGGAGGAAGCAGAGAGAGACTCATAACTAGCAACTAATAATAAGTATTTTTGAATAAATAAGTGGCATGCAAATTGAATAAATATATCCTAATAATAACAAGCAAGGTGACATTTCATGTCTCTGTAATTCCAAACAACCAGTTTGACTGCTGAAAAAATGACGGATTGCTTTTACTGGCTGTGAGGGCTGTGAGTGCCAATTGCTTTGGAAGAAGGTGAGTTCTTAAGATCCTGCAGTCCTGGAAAGCTAGTGCCTGAGCCAGGCCCCTTGTTTTAGTGATGGGAATGGAATTGGAGCAAAATGCTTGTGACATCACCCACAAGTTCATCCATCTTAAGAAGGCCCTTCCTGGCAGCAAAAAGAGGATTCATCCATCCACCACTTATTCATGCAACACGAATTTATTGGATGATAAAAAATGTTTGATTAATAAATGAATTTCTTTAACATGTTGAGCTTTTTCCTGTTCACCTTGCCACACTGTCTGGTTCCTACCTAGTTTTCAAATCTTGGTTCAAATGTCACCTCCTTGGAGAAACCTTTCCTGGTGACCCTACCTAATGTAGCTCACACCTCTCAGCCATTCTGGGTCCCATCACCTTGTTTTCTTTGTGACATCTGTCATAAAGAAATAATTCTGTGTGTTTAATTGTCTGCCATTTACCCTCCTTCACAAAGGCAGGGACCTTCCTTCCATTGTTCAGTGAGGTACCCCAACCACATGGAACAAAAGGTAGCACACAGTATATGCTCAGTCAATATTTGTGAAATGAAAATGAATGGGGTGACACTGATTTCTACCCAGGAAGAAAACATTCTGCTACTTTAATTAGAGACGAAGTGAGAGGTAGGACATTGGCCAGGAGGCCCTTGGTCATAATGATATGTCCAGCAGTGGTTTGACTAATCAGTGCATGCATTTTCTGAATTACAAATGATTCTAGGAACATTTAATTTCTCTTAATTGTCACCAAGAAGGAGGGGTTGTTTCTGAAAACAGCTGGAAGCCTGTTTGTGTCAGGCCTGTTTGCAAATCATAAACCCGTCGCCAACCTTGTAAAGCTGCAAGTCCCCAAGAGGGGCAGCACCAATGTGCTCACAGGCTGCATCCAGGGTTGCAGAGAGCCCTAAACTGGAAATCTTCAACAGGCCAGGTGGTGAGGCCATGGTGGGGACAACCATAAAGACAGATGAGGGTTATGGCATAAGACGCATTTAACAATAACCATCACATTGCCTTGACCCTGGTTGATAACCCTGCCATTCACCAGCTTATCTGAAAGGTGAGGGGCACAAAGAAGCTGAGATTCCAGAGCAGGCCCCATTGCTTCTTCACGGTGACCTCAGACAAGCAATTGGTTCTCTGAGCTGCAGCTGCTTGATCTATTTATATCAGGGATAATAACACTTAACTGATAACTGATGTGGTTGTGAGGATCAAAGGAGAAAATGCATTAAAATAATAATGATAACAACCTTTTTTTAAAAAGAGCATTTCTTTTTTTAAAAAGATTTTATTTTTAGAGAGAAAGGAAGGGAGGTAGGAGAGGGAAAGTAACCTCAATGTGTGTAGTTGCCTCTTGCATGCCTCCAACCAGGGACCCAGCCTACAACCCAGGCATGTGCCCTGACTGGGAGTCAAACAAGTGACCCTTTGGTTTGCAGGCTGGGGCTCAATCCACTGAGCCATACCAGCCAGAGCACAGAGCATTTTCTATATGCTGAGCACTGTGCTAGTGACTTTATGAACATGATCTCATTTGATCCCCACCAAAGCACTCAAGGAAAACATAATTAGTACCTGCATTTTACAAGCAAGAGAACTAAAGGTTGGGGAGGTTAAATGACTTGCCCGTGGTGACATGGGGAAGAATTCGGTCACCTGACTCACTGGCTCTTGACCATCCTGTAACCGTCCCTCTGTGGATTACCTCAGTACTCGGCACTTAGTATACATCTAATGAATGGCAGCTACTAAGATTCTGTTCTTGTAGTTAGCATTTCTCTTGCTTACTTGGGTTCAAGTCTTTGTTATACCTACAAACTCCTACAACACCAACCAATTCTAGGGTCTCTTCTGCTCATGGGCATCTGGTCTACCTATCTCCCTTGATCTTCCCAACACCCCTGTGAAGTGTCTACTATTGTTTCCAT